GCTGCCAGCAGGCTCCCACACCTCCCTGGTTCTTGTAGCTGTCCAATGTCACCTCCAGGTGTCTGCGTCCCTCACTGTCACCATTCCTTCTCCACCTCTGGCCTCCCCAAACTAGAGACACGCCAGTTCTCCTAGGAGGGAGCAGAGGGCTTGGCCAGTGAAGAAAGTTGCTACAGGTTCTTCCTCTGCACAGATGGAGAAAGCACAGGGAGAAGTCATCACCAAATGGGAAGAGGAGAGCAATTTGTCCAGGAGGACTCTGAGACAACATCTACACTGGTAAGTGATGCCAAGACCCACCTCCTGGCCCTGCAGCCCACAGGCTCGCAGGAGCCTGCATCCACACCACTGCATTATCTTCACATCCCAACAAGGTGGGCACCTCAGTCTGCCTATAATTGGGAAACACTGGGAATACTTGAGAGAGTGTTAATCAGCCCAGCCCAAAATCCCACAAGGGACCTCTGCAGAAGTTTAGCAGGACAGACGATCATGTCCCCAAGCCCCCGGTACTGCAGTGGCCAAGCCTGGTAGCTGTTGGACATCAGGAAGCCAAAGAACAAGTCTACCTGCTGCAAAGGGCATCAGTCTCAGGAGGAGTTTCTGATCTCTTCGTGATCAAAGCAATATCACTTACCCTTCCAGGAGAGCGATGACATTCTTTCTGGGCCTCCCAATGTTCGGCCCATAGAGGTTTGCTCTAGAATAAGTGCGGATAAGCTGCAGCAGGCTTCTCAGCTGGATGTAGTCCTTCCCCAGCTGGCTGCCGTTCACTGAGCGGCCGATCAGTGTCCGATAGTTATTGGGCTCTGGGAAAATAAAAATAGACAGGCAAGGCTTGCCAGCTCTGCTCCTTCACCCGTGCTTCCGGAGAGAGACACACAGCTCATGCTGTCGCACAGCTCGAGCTCTGCAGAGCTGCCTGCCTGCTCCACGGAGCAGCAGAAGGAGCCTCTGAGGAATGGATGAGAGCCATTGCTTGCTCTCCTGTGCCAGCATCTCCTCCCACGCTCATTTTGTGTGCTGAGTAAAGGACCTCCACCTTGGTGTCATGTTCCTGTCCCCATAGGATCCCCTACTTCCCCTGGCACTGCAGCCACCATACAAGTCCATACAGCTGCTGGTCTGGCCACCCCAGAACTGGCTGTGCCCAGCAGTCGGCGTAGAAACATTTCATGTGCTTAACACCAGTTGATGGAAATGTCTAAGCTAAAGGGCTAACACACGCCAGGTCCGTCTTAGAGATGGTGCTGCCTTATAATAGAGGCCTTTAAATCCCACTGAAACTACATAGGCAGAACACCCTGGGATCTGTAAATATCCTCTTCCAAAAGGGAATACCTTTCTGCTACAGTGAGCTCCATTCCCGTGGATCTCCTGTTCCCACACTCACCGTTGCCCAGCTCCCAGGAGATGTTGTACTTCTTGCTGGCACTGTACTTCAGCAGGCTGAGAGCATTGGAGCTGTTCCAGGAGTTGTTGGGATTTCGGCGCAAAGCATTCAGTGCAAAGATCAGGTGAAGGCCAGAGCAGTCAGCAAAGTTATAGAGTTTGTCTAGAGACCTGGCTGGGAAGAAACAAAACCCAGTTTGTAACTCAAATGAAAGCTAGTTCCAGGGAGGTTCAAATGATCCTGCTGTCCGTCAGACCTTGCCTTCTGTGTAGGGTGAGCCAGGGTCAAATGCCATCCCTGTGACATCTGTAACCGCAGAAATGCACCTGACCTTTGAAACCGGGATAGGATTCCAGGTGTGGGCTCATCTCCTTCCAGTATGAAACTTGGATGCCCTTCACCACTGTGTCAGAGCTGGGGGCCGTGTTACCAGAGACAAGTGACTTTATAACATCTCTTTTCATCTGCTGTTGGCAAGGAAAGTTCAGCCTTTCCTGTGCTTATTCTACCTTGCATCTCTTTCAGAGCAGATCCCTGCAGTGCCTGGGGAGCAGAGGAGGAAATCACCACTCCAGGGCTGCCAGCCCACGGACACCTCTCCTGCATACCACCACAGCCTGCTTTCTGCTCCCACAGGCCCCTGTGCAGCAAGCAAGCCCTGACATAGAATATTAAGTTAGAATAGACCTCTGAGATCATCAAGTTCAAATAATCAAGTAGGGCCTCCAAGGCATACACCACACACCTGGCTAACTTCTGCTCTGCACACAGAGGAGCTTCATGCCACCCCTTGAGGTCAGTGAGAGAGGAGGGCTCCCTGCCTGGTGACAGCCCGGCCAAGCCCTGCTACTGGAGTGGCTCTCCTGGGGTGCTGGGGTCTTTGCAGGTTTCGTGTCCTGCCTGCTGATCCCAAAGCTGCCCAGCTGGCATCTCCCCTGTGGCCTTGGTAAGCAGTGGGGCACCAGCCAGCTGCAGCAGGAGAGACCAAAGAAAGAGCTGACCCACTATTTAGGGAGGACTGACATTAACACAGGACGCTGCTGGGAGAGCCAAAACACTTAATCCCTTTTTTTTTTGCTTCAATCTTCCCTGAAAACTCAAAAGTAATCAAATGCCTGATAAAGCTAATGCCAGTGTTAGCAGGATACGAAATCAAATGACAGTGAGAGATTTGGTTAGAGAGTAATTAGGTAACTGTGGTGTTCTCAATCATCCCTGCCTGTTGAACTGCATCCCAGGACACTTGACGAGCTTCCTGAAGCAGCCTCAGAGATGCAACCACTTAACTGTGAGGAGCCACCAGGGATGGGGAGGTTCCAGGGGGCCGGGGAGGGCAGACCAAGGGCTCTACTTTCAAAAGACAGGAAGGAGGCACTGGGGAATTACAGAGTAGGCAGACTGGCTTCAGGTCCCAGAAAAATACTTGGACAAATAATCAAGCTGCTTGTCAGCACTTACAAAATATAAGGAGATGATCAACAGCAACAGGAATGTGTCAAGAACAAATCACACAGAGGCAATCGACTGACAGGAGAGCAGGGCTTGCGGGCAGCAAAGCAGCCATTTAGGTCTTACACCTTGATGGTTTTTAAGGCTTTTAACATGATTGCACATGATGTTCTCTCCAGAAAGTGAGGTAACCCTGATTTAGACTGAACTGCAGAGAGAAATTCGCACACCAAGAGCAGCTACCAGTAATTTGCTGTCAAACTGAAGGGTCTAGGCAGCCTGCTCTGGGTCTTTTTACACATTTCCAACGGAAAGGGGTATAAAGGAGCAGAGAATATATACATAAGACTTGCCATGGCACTAAGGTGCTAGCATGTGTTACCATGGCCAAGGGAGATAAAGAGGACGGAGAGGAGGTGACTGTACACTCGGGGAATTGTTCTAAGCCCAGGAGTGATGCTTTGAGACTCCCTGTAGCTGCGCTGCCTGGCCGAGGTGCAAGTGAGACAGTGACGGTCGGGAGCTGCTCGCGCCGGTTGGGATAAGCTGCTCACAGCCTGTACGTCTGCATGAATTCTGTTGCCTTTCCTGGTCACTGAAAGCCTTGGTGAATTTGGAGCCAGCTCTGAGGTCTGAGAAGAATAAATATATTTTGAAAGTAATGTTTTAAGGAGGGTCAAGGAAGTAAGCTAACTGAATAGCTAATATTTAATGGAACACAGCAAAGTCATGGAAAGGAGAAGAAAGGAAAAATGTGGAAAAGAAATTCCTGATTCCTTTCTTTTTCTAAACCCTACTGGTTATTTGAGTGAAAAGTAGCTGAATTAGATTAATCTAATGAATTCATCCCACTGGTTCAGGCACATTAGCTGTTTTTCTGGATGTTTAGTGAATTAGAGACAGATACAGTTACTTAATATTCATTTACTTCAGACCTCCAGGCAAAAAGCTGCACTTGAAATGAGACTCCTATAAAGAGAATAAGATAGACACGTAAATAACAGCACGAAGATAACAAAAAGGTGTTACCTGCAGTTCCCCTGCTGGAAAAGAAACATTTTCACTGGCGCAAAACAGTTGTAGTTCTTAAGTATTATAGGAGGGGATTTGGTTCATGTTTAGGAGCCTCTGCAGAGGGCTGGGAATTGATTTTCCATGCATCCACCGGAGGAAACAAGACGTCTGTTTATCCCAGTGCAGGGCCTGCCACTGTGAAATTATATTTTCCCCATGACACTTATTTTGTTTCTGTGCGCCTGGACAGAGATGCCACATGTATTTCATGTTCTGCCACGACTTTCCAAGCTGGAAACCTCAGCAATCAGGGAGAGAGCAAGGAGACACACACACAGATGTATGGGGGTTATTCCCACCTATTCCCTGTGGTCTCCCAGGCCACAAACCTACCTGCAGACTGCAACGAGGCTACAAAGAGCAGAAAACTACTAATAAACCTACCTCTGAATCAAACCAGATTGTTAATACGGGCACTTCTGGGATTAAGAGTATCGGGTATCAAGTCCACTTATCTCCTTCATCTTCGGCAACTGTCTCAGGATAGTGTAAACCTGGAAGCACCAGTCTCTCCAGTGACTCTGGCAGATCCTTGATGACCAGTTTGCACAAGGTGCCCAACCACTAGTGGTTAAAGGGCATGTCTGACCCCTCCTGAGATGACTGCCTTAAACTGGACATCTCCATTGCAGACAGATGCAGTTAGATGAGAAAAGCACTGTCAATGGTGGCTAAAGCACAAAAATATGCATATTTAGAAGACCTCAAGTGATGTCCAGTCCTCCAAAAGCTCAAACAGGGCCAAAAGAAAATGCTATAAATATTTTACTGCCGTGATAAGGATGGCTACATTACTTCTGAGTAATGAGAACACGAAGAATCGCAGTATTATTACAGCTGGCTAAAACTCACTTTGATGATCACTGGATGATTGCACTGTTTTTTCTTCGTCAAACATAGAAAATCTTGCTGGATTTTAACCTTTCTCCAGCTAACAGATCATTAGGCAAGGCTTTCACAAAGCATTTCAATAGAAAAATCCATTGTCATACCAGAATGAATCTTAATGGAGCAGAACTGGATTTATAAGACGTTCTCCCTGCCCCTTCTCCCCCTCTGCCCAGTGCAGAGATGCACACGCTCAGCACTTACATGCCACTGGACTCAGGGAGAAGGAATAAAGCAAAAAAAGAAAAAAAAAAAAAAAAAAAAAAAAAAGAAAAAAAAAAAAAAAAGAGAATAAAAAGAAAGTGCAAAGATGCCGACAGTCAGCTTGGAGCGAGGCTAACCAACGCAGCAAAGCTACGTACTCCATTCTGTCGCACCCAGCGGCAGTGCTTGCTGGTAGGTTTCAGTGGCGATGGACGCCTGCCTCGGTGGGTTTGGGACTAACAGCACCCAGTAGGCAGAGACAGAGGCCCCATGGCCCTGGCACAAAAAAGAAATCAGAAGATATTTGGGCTTTCTCAACCTTTTACATCCTCGGTTGCAGAGGCTTGAATGCATCTGGAGAGTGAATACCGCCTGATGATGCACGGCTGGGTGGCCGCCAGTGAAGATCTGCTCACAATCCTGCCCTCAGCTGAAGCTCGCACAGGAATTAAAGATTTTGGCTGTTTGCATGGATCTCTCACCCTGCACAGAGGGAGACAAACAATTTAAAAATGCAGGAGAAGGTGTCTGAGAGGCCACAAATGGTGATGGGGTTCATGGGACAAGTATGCTCTTTGGGATTCTTTTCCATTTTTCTCCTTTTTATATGAGGCTAAATTTTAAAATTCTCCAAAAGATGGATGGCACTTAGCTCAGTGGCATGCCAACACAAAATCTGAGGTACATTAAAATGTCTCTGGCAGCTTAAAGTAATTGGAAAGACTTTCCAGGTGTAGTTACAGAGTTAAACATTATACTAGAGACTTCATAGAGAACATAGTATTGACTGCTATTGGGTAAGAGGGACAGTTCAATAATCTCTGGGTTTGAAAGTCTTCCACATTTTTTATTCTGCTTCAGGAATTTTGCTTTGGCAGGGTTTAGCACAAAGAGTGGAAATTCATATGCATGCTGAGACAGAGGCTGAGATCAGCCAGTGGGCTGAGGGGTGGTGGGGCATGGCACAGTGTGCTGGGGGCTTTCGTAACTCTGGGAAGTCAACCAGGAGGACAGGAGAGAAGAGCCTGTTCTCTCTCTATCCCCACCGTCCACCACGTCTGTCTCTTGCATGTACAGAGTGTGCCAGCGCTGAGGAGGATGGGGCGAGAGCTGAGCATGGAGCAGGCAGCACACATCACACTCCCCAAATCCGCAGGTTAACTGAGAGACCAAGCAAATGCACAACAGATGAACCCTTCTGTTGATAACGCAAAGAAATGCAGTCCTAGAAATAATGATCTCAACTAATCACAGGTATTTCTCGACTCTTCATTCCCCATAAATTCAGACTAATGCCAGGAGCGTCCCTGCAAACAGCTCATGGTGCCAGCACTGAAGGCAGCAGCATCCCCTGCCTCTTGAGTACCCTTCAGGAGGTAGCGGAGGGAAGGGGTTGAGAAAGACCTGGCAAAGAGCAAAGAGAAGCCCAGAGAGAGCTCTACAGGGAGGGGGCAGAAGGTGTGGTACAGAGTGTTCAGACGAGAGATGAGTAAGAAGTCTAGCGAGAGCAATGAATGGAAAAAGAAAGGTATTCTCACTTACAGAAGAACAAGTGGGTA